CACGTTTGCAAAAGATTCTACGATGAGTAACAAAACTCTGGTCCGTTGTTAAGCAAATTATAGAACATTTTCTATTTTTATATTCAAAGGGTGCTTGAGTTCGCTGTCATTACATTACCTATTACTAAGAGCCCCCCTATAATAGTGTAAGCCTAGAATCGACCAACTTTTACCCACCATCCATCACTTTTATTCCCTGGTTCACACACAATTTAGCCGTGTCTTTGACCTCAACTCAAACGCAGCATCCCCCATTTTTTTCATGAAATAGAGGCAATTCCGCGAATGAGGCGGATCGCGACCCTCTGTGGTATTGTGTCCAGCAACCATGGACAATTCATCACACGGTAGCCTAGCGAAGGCATGCGAATTAGCACACACAGACAGATGGAAAGAGCAGCTGCGACCTGGCAAAAATGGTCGGCTTTGAGAGAGAGAGAGGGGAAGAGAAGAGAGGAGGTGAAGACAAATCCGATTTAAAAAGAAAATTACTGAGTTTTTTGGACATATAGAAAAAGTCACAAATGCGCAAGACATGCATAGCAATATGAAAGAATCAAAAATCTGCAAGATGTGCTACTTACCATACATCTTTCCCTCATCACTAATGATAATTTTCCGCCGTCCACAAGGCGGATAAATCGCTAGGGCTTCTTGGAATGCCTACAATATGCTTGATTCGGTGTAAAACTCAAAATAACCCCCAAATAATTCCAACTTGGTCTATATCCACGCTCCACACGCCTTCAGCATCACCGGCTGCCAAATCAGAGCCAGCGCTAGAAGAGGATTGAGTAGGTTCAGGCTGAGTCCCAGCTGGATCCCCGGCAGGAGGTGAAAGCTAGACCACAATGTATTGCATTCAAAAAGAATTAGGATGCCTGATGATGATTCGGATATTATTATAAATATCCGCAGCAAAATTCAGGCAAAAATCTTACAGTAATCATCTGGCCTCCGTTAAGTTGCGTGGCTCCTTGCCATGCTTCCTTTTTGAACGAATCATAGGTTGGAGTGAGCCTGAAAGGAGAGGATATCAGTCTTAACCCTTCAACCCAATGGCTCCCATCAAATGCGAAACCTCCCTCCCCCTTATGGATCTCAAAATAGCTCAGCTGAGTGGGAAACGTTAAAATTCGCTATGTAAAGTTGTAAAAAATGCCAAAAAAATTTCTACTTATGGTTAATTCGTAGTTTTCACCAACCTGAGTATTAATATTCACCACAAACTATACAGTTTTATCAACAATGGCTTTCGTTTTGACAAACAAAGTTCATCGTTTTTCTTGAGTTACTAGTCAGATTATGAAACCCGACGCCCCAAAAAACATAAATATCTTAGCAACAAATCGCAGCAGACAGTAAAACAAAGCAATTATTAGAAAATTTGGAAACTTTTGCAAAATCAGAACGCTAAAAAAAATAGAAAGACCTGAATGTCACTGTATGTAAC